CAATTTACACTTTACACTACCGGTACTTACAACAACGTTTGATATTTATGATGATTATGATGTGTTCTGGAAGGCGTTCCAATCGTCGAAAGAGAGTATCGGTGGCAAATTCATCCACGTGGCAATATCCTTATTACTTTAAGTTCCTCTCACGTCGTCATCTTGATGCCGGACTGCATGGTGGTGGGGTCCATCAATCTCTCTCGACCACTACCAGCGCATCCATAATGTCGAATGTCCTTCGGCGACAGCGCTTCAAGACGCTCCTCATCCCCGCCCTCGTCGTAGCGGGAACTTTGGTCTACGTCCTCTCGCATTACCACTACCAGATACGGAATGTAATCTCCTACGGGACACGGCCATTATGGGACACCGCGGACGGGCCATCACATGTAATACCGCATTATTATGCAGAGGGTATGCTCCTGGACGAGCATACGTGTTCGCTCCACGGATGGAAGCCGAGGGTCAATCTTCAGGACTACAAGCTTCTGGATGCCATACTCATGAGCAGCGAGCTGGACTTGCTCGAGATACGGCTCAATGAACTCAGTCCGACAGTGGACAGATTCTTTATCATCGAATCCAACGCGACGTTCACTGGGTTACCTAAAGAAACTTATTTCGCCAACAACCGGAAACGTTTCGCTCAGTTTGAAAAGAAGATATCGTATCGTTTGTGAGGCGTCTTTGATATATTGTTACTTGTGTATTGAGCTTTCTTAGTGTTCCCGGATATCCCTTGAAGGAAGGGCAAACTGCTTGGCAGGCAGAGGCAGAGACGCGCGGTGCAATGACCTCCTTATTGCGCTCGCATATGATCGAGTTTCATCCAAACACCAAATCCCTAGTAATCATGTCCGACATTGACGAGATACCGTCGTTGTCGACCTTGAAGTTGTTGAAATACTGTGACTTTGGGATGTCGTTGCACCTCCAACTTCGCAACTATCTCTATAGGTACGTCCTTCAGCAAGCGTCATCTTCCTGACTTCTCACACTCAAGCAGTTTCGAATGGTTCATCGGCTTCAACAGTTGGCGCGCCAGCATCCAACTTTGGACCTCCAACGGATTCTATTCACATCGGAAGACCAGCGACTACATGCTAGCCGATGCGGGCTGGCATTGCAGCTACTGCTTCAAAACCATTCCCGAATACATCACTAAAATGACTGGATTTTCTCACTCGGATCGTATAGGCGGCCAAGTGGAGCTGCTGGATCCAAACCGAATCCAAGAGACCATCTGTACTGGAAAGGATATATTCGGTATGTTACCAGAGGCGTATAGTGTGCGTAATCCACCGCTTTGTCTTTAAACCCTATCTAACACCCATTGCAGTACCGCGACTTGATAAACCAAATGCATCTCGAACCGTAAGTGCACGATTGCATGACGTTGCCGTCGTCTTAGCGTGTTACAGGTTGAAGTCAGCAGTTGGTCTTCCGAGGTATCTCATCGACCATGCGGAAGATCTCAAATTCCTGTTACCGGGAGGTTGTCGAAGGAGTCAGCAAGCTCTAGGCTTGGATACCATTGAGCCTCTGATTAATGATCTAGATATCGCATGATTGGGGATGAATAAGTGTAGGATATACGACGAGGGCAGTTTATGATACCATAATTTATACCCCTTACAGCTAAGGCTACTTCTTTCGCTCCCTCTGACATGTTTGTTTTCGTTGACATAGAGCGGTATCACTGCCTTCAGAGGGACTGATAAATACTGCTGTACGTTAACCACCCAGCCGCGTTCTGAGCATACAGATGCTCAGTGCTCGAGCAAGGCCGTGTTGCGCTTCCAATATTTCAAAAGACATAATCGTTGAGACAGAGTGTGAGTTCGATCTTTCATCCCGATGCACTGGGCCGACAAGTGGCCGACTGTTATTCATTGAGCTAGTCGGGGCGAATTCAAGCCGCGTTCCTCCCTTTGAAGCCAGAACTGAAAGAGAAGTCCCAGTGTGCATCTGGATTTCCAAGAACATAACAGGCCACGCCGTACGCAGCCTCATCCTGAACAAGTCAAGATCTACGAATGTACACTGGTGGAAGTACAACAAATACGTAGTTCATGATCGAACGAAACGCGCCGCTGGACCGCTAGTCTTAAGGCTTCCAACACTCGCTGGATAACATGTAAGTCTACGCACAACTTGCATCGATATCTGTACTGACCTGGCCGTCGTTCCCAACCTCGTTTTTGCGCACTACCGCTCGGCCGGAGAGCCAGCGTACGGTCAAGGAACTTGCGTACTTTAGCTGTAGGGCCCATCGCGGATGTCCCAGTCGGAATGGTATTATCTTTCAAGGATCGAACAACACGAGAGCTAAGGAAGTATTTGTCAATTAGCGAGTAGTTTGATAGGAATCCACATGTTATCCGTACCCAACAACAATATCCTTCGGCTTCGTTCTAAATCGTTTCTTCGTCTTCTGTTTCTCTTTATGCTGTTGGGCTTTGGATTTGCCTTTCGCAAGAGTGGGTTTGGATTGGGAAGCAAAAGCAGAAGTGAAGAGGTGATCCGGGAGATGATTTGGATTCTGGTGCGGGGCGTCAAATCCGTGGAATTCCTCTTCGTCGTCGTCGCTCTCATCGTCCAGCATAGCGTCGTCGTCTATACCTGAACCTCCGTCGTCCATGTCATCGTCACTCTCCGCGTCAGCCTCTCTCATCGCTTTACGCATCCGCGCCATAACAGCATCTCCATCGCTGTCATCGTCATCTGACTCGTCCTCGTCCTCTTCGACAGCCGCTTGCTTTCCCTTCTTGCTCGCAGCCTGTTCCTTGAGTTTTCGGTCCCGCTCCCTGTTCTTAGTGCGTTTCTTTTCTTTTTCCGCGCTCTGTGCCTGTTGGAGAGCCAAGGCCTGCTCTCGAGTAGCCTTTTTGGATTGCGAGAGAGAGACCGCCTCCGGCGCGTCGTCTTCGGATTCTTCAGAGGCAGAGTCGTACCCAGGCTTCATTTTGAGTTGGTGGAATTGTGGTGAAAGCTTGAAGTTGAAGGAAAATGAGTGATCGGACCGGCAAACACGGTCCGTAATATCCGGTGTTATCTCGACCAAGGTCTAAAACTAATAATACATCTTCGGGACTCTCTTCTTGACGGTGAATCTCAAAGCTACCCAAATAGCACAGTCAGTCATGTGCGTTGATGCCTAATTGATAACCTCAACTCGTACAGACTCGTTTATTGTTCTACTTCTCCATCAGCAAGAAACAATACCTCCATACGAAAATATGGCCGGTGTGCCCTCATTCAGCTTCAACGACGGCTGTAAGATTCCCTCCGTCGGTATGGGGTGCGCTATGCATAGCCTAGATATCTATCAATCGGTTCTAACATCCATTCTAGATGCTGGATGGGCGTTCCAGGAGGAGGGGAACGCGTCTACGATATGTGCACGAAAGCACTAAAGGCAAGTATCGTATCCTCCAATCTTCTATGTTATCTGACACTCTATCGGCAGGCAGGTTATCGCCATTTTGATACTGTGAGCTCGTTCTTTCGACTAAGCTGTCCTCTCACAATGATTGCGATCATCAGGCCTCTGGCTATGGTGAACTTGTAAATACTTCAATTTTGTTCATAATTGATCGTTATTCATAGCGAACGAACAAGAAGTCGGAAGAGCTATCCGCGATTCCGGTATCCCAAGAAACGAGATTTACCTTACTACAAAGCTTCCGCGAGTGTAGTACACTCTCCTCGAGTGCTGCGAAACTTATCATTCATGTAGGAACTACCATCATAAGGTTCAAGAGATGTTTGAAGAGTCGCTGAAATTGCTTGATTGCGAGTACATCGACCTATACCTCATGCATTGGCCTCAGACGACAACGCTTGGTGAGTTGTCTGTCCCCAACGTTTTTTTATCGTCTGATGAGTTCGCAGGACCTGCAGGAACGACCATCACTTTGCAACCAGACGAATCGCCTACGTTTGTTGAGACCTGGAGAGAAATGGAGAAGCTGGTTGCTACTGGTAGATCGACACTTTGCCACGCTTTCACGGAATTTGACATGTTTTCAGGCAAAGTGAAGACCATCGGCGTCTCGAACTTTGGTGTCAAGCTTCTCGAAGAGCTTCTACCCCATAGCACAATCATACCAGCAACCAATCAAATCGAATGTCACCCTTGTCTGCCTCAAGAAGAGCTTCGCGACTATTGCAAGAAGAAAGGAATTCTCATAACAGCCTATTCGCCTCTCGGTATGTCGTTTCCCGAGGTATCTTCCTCACCTAATCTCAGTTTCCCAGGTCGTGGCCCCGTTCTTATGAGCGATAAAACAGTGAAGGCAGTTGCCGGCGAGCTGGCTGCATCACCCGCGCAAACAGTTCTCAGCTGGGCTGTCCAGCTCGGAATAATTGTCGTACCCAAAAGCGAGAACGAAGAACGGATGGCTACGAATCTCAAGGTTCTTATTCTCTCACCAGCTGTGCGTGAAACTGATGTTTCCTCCAGATCGTCAAACTTTCTGATAATCAAATGCAGACGATCAACGGCATCCATCTGCAACCTGGCATGCACAAGTCCTTGCTAACTTATCATAAGCCCGACCAGACCGTTTTCGGATGGACGTATAAGCAACTTGGTTGGAATATGACGACGGGGGGTATTGTGCCAAACTGAAGAGTGAAAGTGTACTACTACCATTCTATGTTTCAAGCTTTCGACACCTTTTTGTATCAACTTTCTTTTTTTGTATCGTGACTCCTGTAAACAAAATCTTGAGTCCTCGTCGCATGAAGGCAGACTCCGAAGTGCTGGATACATTTGAGGAGGGGAAAGGTACATAGCGTACGCCTGCGCGGTCCTGCCGCTTCGATAGGTCTCCCAACATGACGGTGGCGCACGGGTCTTGATACACCTCGGCAATCATCTATAATGGTACTGAGACGGTATGAGAACCTTTGAGTGGCCGCAGGTAGTGATGGATTGTAGACAAGACGAATACCCGCCTAAGCATAATAGCGATACCTCAGTCCACGATCTGTATGGCACTTTGCCGGAGTGGTTAACGGGATGGCCTGCTAAGCCATTGCACTTTGTGCGCCAGAGTTCGAATCTCTGAGGTGTCGATTTTTGCTGAAACCTAACATACAATGTGGCGTATTATTATTTTAAAATTTGCCCAGCTACGGCACTGGCGGGACCGCCGCCGCGCTGCTTGGGTGGCGCAGTTGCCAGTCAACCTCTTGGCTCCCGGGGGAGCCTAGAGGGTCAGGTGGCACTGTAAAACACCTTCTGGATGAAAGTAAAACCAAGGTATATCAAACTGATCCAAAGCTTGCGCCACCTATGCACCCTAACGGTGAGGTTTACTGTGCCACCCCAGCGGCCCTTGAGGCTGAGTTTGCATACACCTTAGGTGTCCCGTTTATTGAAAGGTGGTAAAACGCTTATGGAGATTTTTCTGCAGGCGGCAGCTCTTAGCTCTACCCGGAATCCGGATCGGGGAAAATACGCCACATTGTATATCATGCTTCAGAAAAAATCGACACCTCAGAGATTCGAACTCTGGCGCACAAAGTGCAATGGCTTAGCAGGCCATCCCGTTAACCACTCCGGCAAAGTGCCTTGCAGACCTCGGGATTACGCGCCGTCATGTACGCGGACCGACACTCGATCAACGTGACTGCGGAGGACTCTCGTCGCTCTCGGCATGCTCACCCGTTCATGACACAACTATCATGCCGCTAAGAAAACGAACGAAAGAAAAAGACGACTCTAACTCAGATCTATCGCTTTCGCCGCCAGTATCTGAGGATGATCTCAAGAAACAGAATGTCCATCTCAAGGATGAAGTGAAAGGCTTGAAGTCCAAAGAGGTGCGTCGCGTTATTCCGCGCGTTTTGCACCATATAACGGCCTTGTTAGAAACGCTCAATATTCGCGACGAGAAGATTCCTATTCTCTCTTGGAATACTATGTAAGCGAACCGCCCAAGGCCTGATGCCCGATCTGAACTTAGCTAGTTGGTGTTTTGCTCGGATTCAGCGTGATAGAACGGAGCGACATAGAAGACATGCACGCCCAGCTCCTGCTGTTCATGGATCAATACGACATTGCGCTTCCTGCTTTACCGGACTTTGACTTTTCGCGTGTTGAGCAAGAATTCACGAGACTCCGGAGCAATATCCCGGAGCTGTGGAAATTCAACAGAGACGGCAGGGAGTTTCTAGTGGGCGACCAGATAGCTGCACGAGGTCTCACTGCTCAGCATCCCGTCGTTCTTATTCCGGGTGTGATATCGACAGTACGTGCCGTTCAACGCGCTTCGCTCTTCCTTCACCTCACGTCGGGACTAGGGCTTAGAATCATGGTCAACGAGTCCCGACTATCGACCCTTCTTTCGGGAGAAACTATGGGGTGGCTTCAATATGTTGTCCCAAGTCACTTTCAACAAAGAGAAATGGATTTCTGCCATGATGTTGGATCCAGTCACTGGTTTGGACCCGCCGGATGGTAAGGTTAGAGCGGCCGAGGGAATAGATGCGGCGAGTAGTTTCATTCAAGGATACTGGATATGGTGAATCCTACTTGCTTACACGCTCTTCGTGAACTAATTCACCGCAGGTCCAAAATTGTGGAGAATCTTGCTGCCGTCAACTATGATACAAACAACTTGCATCTGGCACCTTACGATTGGCGACTATCTTATTTCAACCTAGAAGAACGCGATGGATACTTCTCTCGATTAAAAAGTACCATCGAAGGACTCAAGTATGCTTCGTTTGACTTTGTTGGTTTTGTTCTAACATGATGCAGGCGTCGTCAGAAAAAGAAGACTGTCATCGCGGCTCATTCAATGGGATCCACAATCATCTTGGTAAGCTTCAGATAACTGACACTCTCTTGTCTCATGTCGCCCAGTATTTGTGAGTATTTTCACTGTTAACGGCCGCCTTACTTATGCCTGCTAGCTTCAAATGGGTTGAATCGCCTGAACACGGTGGTGGTGGGCCCACATGGGTCGAAGTAAATCACTCCGCAGACCTAGACGCGTCTAAATTCTGATTTCCTGAATTTAGGACCACATAGAAGCTTACATTTCTGTTGCGGGTACTCATCTCGTGCGTGTTGTCAAGTCGAGAGGCAACTACTGATCCTTACACTTTCCACAGGGCGTGGTGCGTACTCATCAAACTCGTGTTCTCCGCGGTATTCATCCTAACTGTGTGAAAGGCCAAGGCTATGGCGGCCTTCTTATCTGGAGAAATGAAAGATACAGTGCAGCTGAATCCAGCAGGCTCATATGGTTAGACGTTTACGCGGATCATCTGCTTGGGGGTATTAACGTTGTTACAGTCTTGGAACGCTTCTTCTCTCGCCGTGAGAGACGTAAGTTATTCATGAGCTGGGCGGGAAGTGCGAGCATGTGGATCAAGGTAAACTCCTACACACTATAGTGTGAAGCATACTCCAGCAGCGACTGAATGTAAGTTTTAGGGAGGAGACGATATATGGGGGAACGAAACTTTCGCTGCAGATGATCAACCGGACTCGACCCATACTCACGGAGAACTTATTTCGTTTAGAGATAAACAAGCAATCGAAGCCGCAAGCCTCGGTGAGGAGCTCAGCAACATGACCTCGGCCCAAGCCGGGACATGGATTTTGCAGCATACACCGTCAACATTCCAGGTACGCTTTCAATGAAGATAGCCTCAAACGGTGACTGACTGTGCTCTGCAGAAAATGATGGCAACCAACTACTCTTTCGGTATCGAACGCGATGAAGAGGCATTGAAGAGAAACGATGCTGACCCCACGAAGTGGACAAATCCCCTTGAAGTTCGGTGCGTAATATGGTTCCCTACGAGACTCGTGAAATCCCTAACAAGGTTTAGATTACCGAATGCGCCTTCAATGAAGATGTATTGCGTTTACGGGCATGGTAAAGAGACCGAGGTGTGTGTGCTTTTGCCAAGGTTATTTGTTATACTGAGATTCATGTAGCGCTCGTACTGGTTCGTTTGCTCTTATGCTTGTGGAGAGTCATTTTCGAATGACACGTTATAGGTATGCAAGAGGAGAATACGAGTATGAGGAGAGCCCCGCCGATGGCCTAAATCCGACGTGTACAGACCCAGAGGACACCGGATGCGTCACGCTCAGAACGCCTTTAGACTTGCCTTTAATGAGAAAGAGCTGGATAGATGCCGAATACACCAACGACACTGTTACACCGAAGGTATGTAACTCTAAAAGTACAAGCTAAGTAGCATTTAAACGTGGCCTTTAGATTTGGAACGGCGTGAAAATGGGGGAAGGCGACGGAACGGTGAGTCTGTTAAGTCTGGGTGCCATGTGCGTCGAAGGTTGGAAGAGACCAAGATGGAACCCTGCTGGAATCAACATCACGACGGTCGAGGTGAGCCCGGAGCGTAAATCGTTGTTGACTTGGGTTAACTCCAACCCCAGCTTCCTCATCTTCCTGTGCCTTCTATACCACGCGGCGGAGCGAATACTAGCGACCACGTCGACATCCTCGGATCGACAGGTCTGAATGAGATCATCCTAAAGGTTGCTACGGGTGTAGGCCATGAGGTTGAGGAGAACTTTGTCTCAAACATACGAGAGTACGCGTCGAAGATCCGGTGGGATCTGTGAACGTTGTGTTAATGCTTGACCTTGCACGCTATTTTACTAATGTAGCATACTTACCCTAGATTGTATTTACGTGGATGCAGGAATGATGTCGTTAATATCTTTATTCAGTTTGGAAATGGTCTTGAGGTAGTCAAGAATCAGAGTGCTGAGGTCCGCGTAGAAGCCCGTCGTCTCGATGAGATCGGTATCGCGAACGCCACAGAAGGCGTCTTGTAGTGACTGACTAAAAATTGGTCAGGCAAGCAATGGAAGAGGGCGAAGCAAGACAATACTCTTTTTGTTTCGTCTTCTTGGCCCAGTTGAGGACTTTACGGTAATCATCCCGACAGTTTTTTGCTGTTTCCTTGATGCTTTGTATTTCCTTATCAGAGAGAGCATTTTGCTGCAGATGTAATAGGGCAGAACTCTCCTGCCGGGATGATAACCAAGGAAAGTAATGATTCATATAGCCAACAAATTCAATTGCATCGAATGGGTCAGACGTCAACAAGTGCGAGATATGCTGGAGGCTATTAGAATACCCGGAAGAAGTTGAGACGTTGCATCTTACCGCTCGACACAAACTCCCAACGATCGTGACATAGACCTCGCGCTGGACTGGAGAGTCCTTGATCTGCTTCTCAAGACGCGTTCGTTCTTCTTGGGGTAGTTCTGGATCGCCAGGAATTCCACGCTTTGTAAAGAATGTATCAAGAGTGATTGCTTCATCAACGGTCTGTGTTAGCGCGAGACGATATTCCTCAACACTGGCAAGAAGATCGAGAAGATGAGAAACGGCGTCTCCATTTAGGATCAAAGACGGTGAGATGGCTGCGCCAATAGCAAATACGAGGATATTCAGAGAGGGTAGAGTTTCTTCCGGTGTCTTCCCTATGACTTCTTGTTCGATAAAAGCTGTTAGTTCGATCAGCACGGAAGTCCTCTTCAGGCACCAGAACAGACGGACAGGAGACGTCTATGAGGGCTTTATGCGCTTTTTCAAGGTCCTTTGGCGCGTAGGCATTATTTGAAACGAGGTGCTCTAGCGAACTGAGCTCCATGCGTCTAGGTGATGGAGGTCGGAGACCAAGTGGCGCGATCGGTCACGCTCACGAGAATGGTGTCACACCTTTTTTCCTTCTGTTCCCCTTCCACTGCCAGGGGCTGCCGGATAGATGAAAACGGATGACCGTCTTACACGAAGCTATGGTAGAAGGTGTGCTGGAAATGTACGCGGTCCGAACTTTGCTCCGAAAGCTGACCATGCACTCTCAAAGTCCATTCAACGCCCGAGCGTTTTGCCTTTACAATGACCGAATGATCACTAGCAACCGAGTCTGAAAAAGGCTTTCTCCACTAGTCTATGCCGGAACGTGTCCCAGCAATCTGCTCACTGCTCGATCGGGTTTGTTCCATAGATCTTTCTTGGGAAAGCGCTGGACCGATATCGAGGGAAGAGTTCTTTCTTATTTCTGAGGGAAGCAGC